TAAGGCTAAAGGTTGCCCGACAAAGTATTGATAGTTGTGTAAATACTGTCATACTAACAGCTGTCTGAATTATTTTGGTTGATTGTAATCTATTACATACCTTTCTATCAAAGTTATCTAACATTATCAAGCTGAATTTGTTCTGACACAGTCTAACTCTGAGTTCTTGTCATATTTTATTACCATTTTCTAAACTATAGCGAATAAACTGTGATAATGTGAGAAATGTTGAAGGTGTCTGAATAAATTTTGGTTTGACTATCTATTTGATAAATGAAGTTAACCAACTAACATTATACATTCTCTTTTGGTTTCTATACCCAATATTTTAAAAATTTACAAATGCAATAAAAATATCGGTATCGGTACTCGGTATCGGCAAGTACCAAAAATAAAAGTATCGGTATCGGGCGAGTACTGGAAAAAGTGGTATCGGTGCATCCCTAGTTGTATTACAAGATTAAAATATTGGTCAGTTTTGTTCTATAACAACACTGAAATATCAGTAGCTTTTGTTCTATATTACAAACATTAAATGTCAGTTGGTTTTGTTTTTTAAAAACATTGAAATATCGGTCGGTTGTGTTCTATTATGAGACTGAAATATCGGTTGATTCGGTTCTGTAACAACATTGAAATGTAATCTATTTTGTTGTATTACGAGATTAAAATATTGGTCAGTTTTGTTCTAAACTGAAATATCAGTTGCTTTTGATCGAAATTACGAAAATTAAACATTGTTTGGTCTAGTTCTGTAACGACATTGACATTGATCTATAACAACTACAATGTCATCTGGTTTTGTTCTGTTACAAAATTTAAATATTGGTCGGTATTGTTCTATTATGAGATTTAAATACTGTTCATTTACTTTTATAACAACATTGAAATATCGGTCAGTTTTGTTCTGTTGCAAGATTTAAATATCGGTTGATTTGGTTTCAGAACAACATTGAAATGTCATCCAGTTTTGTTTTATAACAATGAAATATCGGTTGGTTCTGTTCTATTACGAGATTTAAATAGCAGTCAACTTTGTTCTATTAAGAGATTGAAATATCGGTTAATTTGGTTCTATAACGACATTGAAATGTCATCTGGCCAACAAAATTTAAATATAATTTTGTTTTGTTCTACTAAAATATTTAAAGATCACTCTTTGTTTTGTTCTATCACAGTTTTTTCTAAACAGTTTTGTTCTATTACGAAATGTAAATATCGGTCAGTTTTGTTATATTACAAGATTTAAATGTAGTCTAATTTTGTTCTATTTCAAAACTGAAATAGTCAGTTTTGGTCTATTATGAGATTGAAATATCGGTCAGTTTTGTTCTATTATGAGATTTAAATATTGGTCATTTTTGGTCTATTATGAGATTAAAATATTGGTCAGTTTTGTTCTATTACGAGATTTAAATATCAGCCATTTTTGGTCTATTATGAGATTAAAATATCTGTCGTTTTTTCAATTATAAGATTTAAATATCAGTTGTTTTTTATTACGAGATTTAAATATTGGTTGGTTTTGTTCTATGCAAGAGGGTATAATTCTCAAAAGCATCAATAATGATACCATGAGTTGTCTGAAGTGAAAATTAGCCGGATGTCAAAGAGCCTAGGGTTGCAAATTTCCGGAAACTTTCCAAAAATCCCTAGAATATTCCAAAAAAATCATGGAAAGTTTCCATAATTTCTGGAATGTTTCCGAAATTTACTGAAAACCTTTTTGCAACCCTAAAAGAGCCTAGTGTGAATTTAACATTAGCAGTTATTTAAGCGATGATGTTGAGAAATATATCATACGGCTTTAAATTTAATTAGTAACCTCTCAGATTTCAAGCAGGATTACTATATTGTGATGTTCTTTCTTACTGCAGTTGACATCATATCCCCACCTCTTAAGTAGTTTGTATTAAGTAAATGCGTTAGAGGAATCAGATCTGTCTGTGCTCGTTTACCTTTGCTGAGAGCTTCTTTGGTTTGATTCTGCTGGATTTATGTGGACGTGGAGACACAGACTGGATGAGCAGACGATTGGCTTCTAGACCCGTCTGCAACTGACCACAGAACAGATAGACACAGTTAACATCACGATGCATCGTGGATTGATTCTGAGATTTTCGGAATGCATTTCTCTCTGGAATCGATTCTGAGCTTAGTTTCTAATAGCAGATGGCGCTCTAGGCTAGTTTTTAACCGCACACTCCAATGCTCGCAAAGAAGAGCTCTTGTGCATTCGGCTGAGTCGTGTAAGAGGTTAAATGTACTTGCATCTTGGCTTTTATGCTTTTATGACGCTAGTTTAATGTAAACACAGCCCACTATGAACACCCTTGTAATTCGCTTCAACCTTTTCAAACTGTATGAATGATTATTTTATGTTCAACTGCTGCTCTCCTTCTAGTCACTATTGAACTCTTCCCTCTCTTGATTAAAGCTGCAGGTGAAGCGTTGCCATCACAAAAAAAAAGCTCACAAAATATCTCTTTCAAAGTGTAGAAATTAGGAAAGAAGTATTGTAATTTCCCTACTGCAGTGTAAAGCAAAAATAGTATTCCTATGAAATATTTTCATTTATCTTACAGCAAAATTGTTAATATATGGCTATATTACTGTCATTGTTGTTATTATTCTATTCTAATGTATTAGGCTTCCTCAAACAGCAGTGTGACTGTAATTTAGACTGAGACACTATATCACAAATAAAAAGAGGGTCGAGTCCCTTTAAAGTTCAGGTATGAGACTTTTTTCGGACTTAGTTAAGAACATGGGTTGGAGCTCTTAATTTTGAACTCTCAAAGTGCATTAGATGGCGTAATTTAACTTTAAAATGTACAAAATTAAAACATTTTCCAATTCTTCACGTCTTTTTTTTTTTTTTTAAATATCGCAATAAATATCGTATCGTGGACTACTTCATATCGCGATATTATTGCATCGTGAGATTTGGATATGGTTACATCCCAAAGAATCCTTAATCTATTGGCGATGCATCGATTTATTGCTCCGGCCCTAACTGACAGACAGACGAACCTGAGCTGCTTTGTCCTGCACCAGTTTCCTCTGATGCTCCTCTTCCTGTAGTTTCCTCTCCAGCTGTCTGATCTTCCTCTCGGCGGCGCTCTGAGTCTCCGTCAGCCGATAATACTCCTGCTCCAGCAGATCCAGCTTCTGCAGCTTCAGCTGAACATCGGCCCGATCCGCTGAGCCCAGCTGCTCCAGATACACCTGCACAACACACACAGCATATTAACACACACACACACACCTGTTGCAGCGGGTTCTGTGTGTGTGTGACGCACCTGTCGGCGCAGCACAGCGCTTCTGTCCGATTCGGTGTTTCTCACAGTCTTCCTCATGTGCTCCAACTGTTTCTCCAAGCGTGAGCATCGAGTCTCGGCCGCAGACAGCTGAGAGAGCAGATCTACACAGACAGACATTTTACTGTACATTTACTGTAAATGTAAGGCTGGGAATAAAGATCTGTGTCAATCATAGTAACCTAAAGCGAAAAGTATTAAAAATAATTTCCGGCAACTGAAATAAAGCTGAAATAAAATTTTAAAAAATAAACATTACATGAAAAACGTGAACTTTAAATTTTACCTTGGCAACTAAAATTACTAAAACAATATTGAAAAAAATATATATATTATTAAAAATAATTGTAAAACATTATTATAATAAAAATGCATGTAACCAAAAGCATGCAACAAAATTAGTACAACTTTAAAAATAAAAGTTAAGGAGTACAATATAAATGTTACATGAAAACATTTAAAATGAAATAAAATAACCAAGTTGAAGTACTAAAATAACTAAAACTGAATTAAAAATTAACCTGTATTGAATTATTATATATAAACATAATTTATGTAAATTATTTATTTAACTTAATATACAAAAAATAATAATAATCCAAAAAACTAAGAATTAATAAAAATGCCACATAACAAAATTAATAAAACTTACTCAAATTAAATGTAAAAGATAAATATAAAAAAATAAGAAATGCTTATTAATATGAAAATAAAATTTTTTTTTATTTTATTTGAGTAAAAATAAGAAAATAAAATGTCGCCTTGGCAACTAACTATAATATAACCAAATATTTAATATATATTAGAAAAGTAATAACATTTTAAAAAGCACATCATTACTAAAAGTTCAATTTAAATGTTATGACACACATCTCTATCTTTCTTTTCAACCTGACAATTTTTCAAGCGACAGCTGAAAACTCGCCTCTTTCATCACTATCTGACTTCATCCTAAAAATAAAAAATAAAAATGTCTCTTTTCTTTAATCTCTCTCTGTCTAGCTTGTACTTATTTGAACAATGCTTGAAACTTGGCATTACGAGCACTTGCTGTGTCTGTCTGCCTCTTTAAGAAGAATCGCTTGATTATTCCCCGACTGTGAGTCTGCTAAATTAATAAATGTAAATGTAAAGCATTGGAAATATGAGTGAATACTATAATAGCACATAAATAGCATGTGTGTGGATGAAATCACAGGCTCACCGTGGTTCGTGTGGTTCGTGTGTCTGTGGTCGGAGCGTGTGGATTCTCTGGAGACGGTCTGGAGCTTCTGCTGAGCTTCACATCGCTCCAGCTCCAGACGACGGATCTTCTCCTGCAGGTGCTTCAGCGCGGAAAGAATAGCTGCAAAAACACACCAGTTCAAGGAGTTCTGCATCTAGATGTGATGTATTCAGCTCACACTGGCCCAGTGCCACAGCCACAAAGCAGCACTCACATATGAAAAGGTCAGCCAATCAAAAGAGAGCTCATTTACATACAGAAGTCTTCAAGAGGCAAAATGTTAACTACAGGCGGCGGAATCTGAATCTAAACTCTCCAGCAGGTGGCGCTGTTTTGTTAAAGTTGTAGTATTTTAGTTGTTGTTTATTTATGTCTATAGATTTATTAAAGTTTACTTTAGCTGCTTTTGAATATCAAGATAACTTTTGTGTTGTTTTTGTGTCACTGAGACACTA